CACCCCACCTCCCAGATGATTGCTTTCTCTAAAACTTCTCACATTCTTCATCTCTCATTCCTCACCTGGACATCTAGGCTGCAGTCAGTTTTACCTGGCACAGAGGAGAGTGAAGAAGTACAGGAGGGACCAGGACAACCAGTAGGGCCTTTCTTGGGACATTTTAACTCAAGATGAAGGGAGGCTCACGAAGGCTGATGGAGGGAGCTTCCTAACATATTCCAAATGTAATGAGGAAGGAAAAGTTGCATTACCTAGCTCCTGGCACCTGAATGCCTCTTATAGGTTGAGCAGTCTTTACTAGGAAAGGCACTTTTTGGGAAAGCCACCTCTGCCCCTCACCCAGGTCAGTGTGTCCCCTGTGGCCAAGACTCCTGGAGAAGGTGTGGTCTGGGAAGGCTTCCCTGAGGAGGGGAAGCTCCTCCTCATGTAGGAGGCTGCAATTTGGAGTGAAAAGAGGTGATAGCCAGGCAAGGTGGGATGAAGTGGGGGGCACGAGGCAACAGTGCAGGGGGCATGAGGAAACGCCCAGGGTACTTGGGGCCATACCTGAAGAACAGTGAGAAAGATGTGGCTAGGACGTGGGAAGTCGCCAAGGAAGCAGGCCTCTGGTGCTTCTCAGTGTCCCCCTCATTTACACTGCTACCATGGTCATCTCTACTGCTAAGAGCCAAACACATCTACTTTACTTGAGCCCCTCTGACCAAGCATTTTATACACATGATCCCATTCCAGCCACAGTTCTATAAGGACAAGGTATGAGGATCTGTGTCCACTTTACATATGAGGAAGTTGAGGCACTGGGAGGGTAGTGTCCCATGGCTAGTAAATGCAGAACCAGGATTCAAAATCCAGTGCCTGAAGATCTCTGGATAGAAAATGTCTTTTTCCAGTCCAGGCCACTGCTGGCCTTCCAGCTGACATGTTTTCATTTCCATAACAACTGGGAGGTCCAGCTGGTGTGACTGGTGGCCCTTGGGGGAATGTGGGGCCCAAGGAAGGGAGAGGAGGCCTAGGTAATTGCAGGGGTTGGGGGTATGTGAAGCTGCCTGGGTGGGGAATGGCAGGATGCATGGGGTTGGTGGCTTGACTGCCACAGTGAGCATAGGGGCTCTGGGAAGAATGAGGGCCCACAGCGGGGCCAGCCTGGGGGCTGACGAGGTAGAGCACCTGCCCCACCTCACTGCATCTCACTCTAGTGGTTGCTAATGGATGGTCTGCAGGTTCTGCCTTTCCATGTGGAAATGGGCCACCATTCTGGTTGCTTTTTCTAGGAGGTGGAGAGTGAAATGGACAAGTCACATATGCAAGGATTGTCTTCACAGGAAGCAAACCATCTCCTGGGGAATCTAGACTCTTCCTTTTCACTGAGTGGTGCTGGGCGAGGGGACAGGAAGCATTGCGGGTGGGAGGAAAAGGAACCCTTTACAAAAGTCAACATTTAAAACCATTTTCTTTCTTCTGAATTTTTTAGACCTCAGGCCAAGAGAAATTGTTTCCTTAATTATATTCAACTCCTAGCATCATATTGGCTGAAGTTTGGGTGAGCTCAGCAAAACTACAAGCACAGTGTGTACATCTGTGTGCATGCATGTGCGTATGCATAGTTACCCCACGTATTAAATTTCTCTCCCCTCCCACTTCCATTTCCTCATTTAGCAGGAAATAAAAGGACCACTGGGCTGGAGCTCAAATCCTTCCTAAGCAGAGGGAAATCCGGGTGTCACAGTTTCCAGAAAGGGAACACAATCTCTGTATGGGGTGTAATTACATCTTAGCTTTCTGCAGAAGAATAGTTTATGGCTTAAATGCTATTAATTGTAAGCTGTTTTGTTCCACGGGAACTTGTTCATTGATAACTATCCAATTAGGGTTATTTTGCAATTAGTCTATTCACAGTAAATTTATTGCAAAAGGGAGAGGCTATGGTGCAGCAAATTAAAGCATTGCCAGGGCTGGGTGTGCAATGGCTCTTAAATGCCAATCTTATTAACCAGCTCAGAGGTCCCAGGAGGCTGTGCCACCTTAGCTGATGCAGCAAAGGCCACAGGGAAACCCCAGCAGTGAATTCACATTGAAAAACCACAATAGAGATGACTCAGTATGGCTAAGAGAAGCCTAGGAACCCTTGGCCTCCACTGGCAACATCTACACTGTTGTTCCCCATTAATACCCTCTCTTACTGCAACCATACTGATGACAGAGATACAGAAGCCCACAGGCTGTGGGACATCCCTGAGATTTGACAGTCTGAGCTAAAGAGAAACCTTTAGTCCCTGAAGAGAGGGAAGCTCTGGAAAAGGATGCAGGCTCTAAAACCTGAGTTCTGATCCCAGTTCTGCCATCTACTAGCTGTGCTCCTCTAGCCAAGTATGAAACCTCTTTAAACCTCAATTTCCTCATAGACAAAATGGGCTGATAACTGATTTACCTCATGGAGCTGGTGTGAGGATTCACTGTATTGGAAGGTGCAAACAGTGTCAGACAGACTCCTACAGGAGTCCCCCTTATCCAATACTCCCAGTGGGTGCCTGAGCCTGCAGACAGCACTGAATCCTATATATATTATGTTCTTCTCTATACATATATACCTACGATAAACTTTACTTTATAAATTAGGTATAGTAAGAGATTAACAACAATACCTAATAATAGGATAGAACAATATACTGTAATAAAGGTTATGTAAATGTGGCATTATTAAGTAAAATCAGGGTAACTTGAACACATGCAATGTCATACCAAGACAGCAGATCTGATAACCCAGCTGGCTACTATGTGACTGATGGGCAGGGAACATACACAGCGTGGATTCACTGAGCAAAGTGATGATTCGCATCTCAGGCAGGACGTATCAGGCCAGTGTGAGATTTCATTATGCTACTCAGAATGGTGCACAATTTAAAACCTATGAATTGTTTATTTCTGAAAATTTCCATTATTTTAATATTTTCAGGCCATGGTTGACTGCAGGTCACTGAAACCTCGGAAAGCAAAACTACAGATAATAGGGGACACTACTGTATACAGGGCTGATTTCTAGCAAAGGTAAGCAAGCTATAGCCCGCAGGCCAAATCCAGCCCTTTGTCCTTTTTTTGTAAATTCAGTGTTACTGCAACATAACCAAGTGCATTTTGTGTGTGTATTGTCTAGGGCTGCTTTCGGGCTACAAGGGCACAGTTAAGGAGTTGTGACAGAGACTGCATGGCTCACAAAGCCTCAAACATTTACTTTCTGGCCTATTATAGAAAAAGTGTGTTGACCTTTGGTGTACAGTGCATGCCCAGTATTATTTTCTTAGAAGCTCAGTCAACTCAGATTCTATCACTTTTTGCCAGCCTGTGCACTGATTAACAAAACATTTGGGAAATATCCCCTTCCACGTACTTATTCCTATACTCTGTGTACCCATCAAGAATAAAGATGGCCCTGGTCGGTGTGGCTCAGTTAGTTGAAGTGTCTTCCTGTAAACCAACAGGTCACAAGTTTGATTCCCCATCAGTGCACGTGCCTGGGTTATGAGTTTGGTCCCAGGTCGAGGCACGTGCAAGAGGCAACTGAGTGATGTTTCTCTCTTACATTGATGCTTTTCTCCCCCTCTCCCTCTCTCCGCTTTTCCCTCTCTCTAAAATCAGTAAGTATGTCCTTGGGTGAGGATAAAAAAAATGGTAAGAATAAATATGGGAACCACTTGGACAATTTAGATAACGTGTTAAAATAAAGGGAGAAATGAACTTTTAAAATTAATCTTTCTATTTAAAAGAGAGTATTATATAGGTACACATTCACTACTAAACAAAACTAAAAAAAGTACAGATGAACTTGAGTAAAAGTTGGCATTGTCCCCACTGCACCCCACCTGGGGGAGGGGCACATGAAGAGCTTGCCCTATGTCCTTCTAGGCCTCTCTATGTACTCAGCACACATCACTGCTCCCTACCTATTCCAAACCCTTCATTATTCTGTGACCAGTAGTAAATAGAGAGCACCTTTTTGAAATGAGGAGGCTGGAATTCAGGTTCAAGTCCAGTCTCTAACTGACCGGGTGACTTTGGCTAAGTCTCCTTCCGTCTATGGGCCTCACATTGCCATCTGTCCAGTGAACAAATTGCATTAAGCTTTCTCTAAGGGACCTTTTAGTCTGCTGTTCCTTGGGGGCCATTCTCATCATGGACCTCCCTTCTGCATCAAGAAAGATGCAGGAATACAGTAGTTGCTCAAAGTAAGGACAGCACTTGGCAAAGTCTTCCTTGCTTGGCTTCTAAATCCACCAATGTCAGGGGGACTGAAAGCCCCCTACCTCCCCACCCTGCCATTGGGATCAGCTCTGAAGTTGGCTTTCTTGATTCTCTGGCCTTTCATCTCAACACAGGAGGATGCAGTGTCTCTGTTATACCTCTGGTCTCTCAGAGCAAGAGATCTGATTTATCACTGGTCACCAGCACAGGGCAGGAGTGAGGGGGAGAGAGAGAGGGAGGGAGGGAGGGAGGGAGAGAGGGAAGGAGGAAGGAGAAAATGAAGAAGAGAGAAAATAAGGAACAAAGGAAGGATGGAAGGAAGGCGTTTCAGATGGAGGATGGGAAGGTCATTTCTCAGAGCCTCCAAAGTCAATGCCACCAATTAGAAACCTTTTGAATCATATTCAATTATAATAATACCTATGTCAATTCTAATCTCAATATTCTGCTGAGACAGAAAACAAACTATATTAATATAGTCACCTCACCTTCTATAGCTTCCACATGAGCCCTAATTTCACCATATTTCATCCTTTGCAACTAGCTATAATGAAAGGCAATTTGATTCTGAAATACTTTTTTAAATATAAGATTTCAGAATTCAGGGAGTGCCAAACAAATCAGATCCTTTGTCCTGATTTGGGGTTTAAAACACAGGGTGGTCATTCTGAGCAGATCTGAGAATGTGGGCAGAAGGGGCCTAGGAAGCAGGATGAGTTGGAGAGGAGACACTGCTCCCAACCTCGGGGGCTGGAGCTTACCTTCTAGAGGGCAGAGCCGGGTCACCTTCTCTGGCATCAGTAGCCCGAGCTTATGGCGGCAGTAGGTCTCCCCGATCTCCTGGCGGCAGTGCTTGGACTTAGCGCGGGACAGGGCAGAGATCGCCTCCTTGCCCGAGATGTCGCACTTGGGGGGCTGGTCATACTTGAGCTCAGGGGAGCTACCACCGCTTTTCCTGGCATGGGGCTGGCCGGGGGCATCTTTCCCACGGCTGCTGTTCACTGAAGCTCCCTCACCAGGAGGCAGCACCTCATTGATGCCTTTGCCTGGGAATGAATGTCCTCTCCCCTTCTCCTGCTGTAGCTTTCTCTTCAAAAGCTCCTTCTGTCTGCTTGGGGGCTTCTTTGCCAGCTCAGGCTGGTGTTTCTGCTTTTGAGTTCTCGGTGCAAAGTTGCTATTGTCCACATTCTCAAAATCTTTGGGGACCGAGTTCTCGTTGTTGCTGTCTGTTCGCATTTTCTCTTTTGGTCGGTGAGAGAAGTAGCCATCCTGGAGAAGATGGGAAAGAACCAGGGAAGAGAAACTTTACTGAACGATAACACAAAGTAGGTTGGCCCTTAGAGAGTGCAGCACAGAGATCTGCAAGTCTGGGCCCTGGATTTAGGCCCTACCTTTGCTACGAGCTTAACTTCAGGTAAGACTTTTCTCTCTGGACCCATTTCCCCAAAACACAGGGCATTCCAACTAAAAAACACGGCTTTGCAGGCAATAAATTGCAATGACTATCAGTCCCAATGCTTGTTATTAACCATACCTTCCTTTCAAGTAAGTTTCCTTGATTGTCTCTGCCATTGGATCATGGACATTTGGTTCCAGCTTCCTTTTTAAATTTCAGCAGAGAGTGCTTTGATGGTTTATTTAAGGGCTGGCAATGCTGTGTTAAAGTTATAAAGGGAGAAAATATTGGTAGGATATTATATACATACCATTGCCTTTAGGATATGTTCACAGATCTATGCCCATAAGAGGAATCAGACAGAGTCATAGTCAATTCTGAAGGAGAGACATCACTGGGCATTTTGAAGGGGAATGCGCTCCTTGCAGAATGATCCTTATAATGAATCCCAGGAGACATGCACACTTGTGATACTCTTGTGTTTGAGCTTTGACTCTTGACGTCTGTATGTGGGGCAGAACTGATTAAGTCACCTGGGGTCACTCCTCTAGCAAGTTGGCTGACTACTTGGTGGTCCAATTCCCACTTGCCACTGGTTTTTGTACAAGAACTTTTATTGACACTTGGTGATGCCTGTTCATTGACGTATTATCTAGGGCTGCTTTCATGCTACAATGGCCGAGGTTAAGCAGTTGCAATAGAGATGGTCTGGCCTGCAAAGCCTAAAATATTTCTATCTTGCCCTTTAAGAAAAAGAGTGTATCTATAGCCCTCCAGGAGTGTGAGTTCAGAAGCCCCCACACCCCCGCCCCTGGGCTCAGTTTAGTTGGCTGTGTCCCCGATGACCCCCTTTGGATCAGCAGTGGTCTGGGGAAGAAGCCGTATGTGGCAGCCCCTTCTTGTCTTTGCCCCATCTGCCCAGCATCAAGCACTGATTTCTCCTATTTGGAAGAAGGTGGAAGAGTGAAAGCAAACACGAAGATCCCTCATGGCTACTCTGTAAGTTGAATATTGCTGTTATTCTCATTCCATTCCACTACCCACTTCCAAGAAGCTGCAGCATCCTTTAGACCTCCAACCCCCTGTGCCCTAAAGCACGGCAGCCTGGCTTTGTACCACAAGATCTGGCTCCTTTCCCATCTACTCCTGCCCAGATAAATGGATCTGGGACAGGCATGTCACTTGCAAATAGCCTTCTTAAGTCTAGCTGGCGGCCCATCAGGTGGCAGGGAGTCACAAAAAGGGAGAGAACAGTAAATAGGGGCCACAAAACACCAGGAGCCTGAGGAAGCTGGAACTGGGGGACAATGGAATAGGAGGAGGAAATAAAGAGATACCAAGAAGGGAAAGCTGAGTCTGTATTGAGTCTTAGAGTGGTTGCTGGTCATATGCTGCAGTCAATAGTATACCCAGGTTGGTGACAGGGACCTTCCAGTTCTGACATCTGGTTTGGTTCTTTCTTACCACCCCACACAGACTTGCAAGAAACCCCCCTCAGTGAGATTCTATATCTCTATCCTTGAACCCCACTGATAGTCCTCTTTCCCTTTCTTTCTGTCCAGATGTCCTTAAAGAATCCTAAGGAGCCTCTCAGATATACTTCCTGAGCACCTGCCATGAGCCAGGCATCACATACTAAGTAATTCACAGGTACTACTTATTGTATATCAACAACTACCCTGTTAGGAGGTACTCTCCTTGCCATTTAACAGAAAGAGGAACCAAGGTGTTCTTACAACATTCTTAAGCACATATAACTTCCAAAGTAGATACTAGTATTCTCCCATCTTACAGGGAAGGGGAAAAAGCTTGGAGATGTTCAATAACTTGCCTGAAGTTATCTGGGGAAGGAAGTGAACTTGTACCTGTCTGATTCTGAAACTTGCTATAGTACAGCATCTCTTCTGTTTGGCTAAGAGACAAACCAAGAAGCATTTAGCTCCCCTTTCTCTATGGGGAAGTGGGAGGTGTATCTCCCTCTTTGCTCATACAGCTTAGGTTGAGATGAAAGTTGGATGCTGGGGCAGAAATGGTATTGAAGAAACTGCTTGATAAATATTTCAGTCTTCTTCCTTCAAGACACATGATAAGATTATACTTGCCATCCCTTGCAAATCAGGCATAGCCAAGAAACTTTCTGTGGCCAAGACAAGTGACAGAGGCCAGGGTACATATTGCCACATCCAGCCACACTCTTGATAGTAAACGTTGTGTAACCTTGAGTAAGGCCAGTATGGAGCATACTCCATCAATCCTCCAGGGGCAGAAACCTCTGTCACTTTCCATCACTGAGATTTGGGGATCTTTGTTACTGCAGCATGGTCTAGCTTATCCTGATTAATATAGGAGCCAATCTGATCTGCTTTCTTCCTTCCAGCTGTTCTCTGCTAGAAGAGCCTTTTTTTGTTGTTTTTTTTTTGTCTCTAAGAGTCAGAAAATCAGTTCAATGATGCCTGCTGTCCAAGAACATGAGTTTAAATTCTGTCCCCAAGCTCATTTTTCAGAAGTTAACAAGAGGCAGAGAGTAAGCAGAAGAGCCTCTGTCCTTACAGCCATCTGCATCCTCTCACCAGACACATCCTGAATATTATTCTTGGGCTGTTCTCTTTCCTCATTAACTGAGGATTACAATTTGGCCCCTTGAGCAGAAAACCTCCATAAACCACTGATTTCAAAAGCTCATATTTGTAGGACTTTCTGGCAGAACCTCAGCCAACCCAGACACAGAAAAAACACTGCCATGGACAAAGCTGATATGACGATCTGAGAACAGCCAATTCCTGTAGTTAATTTGTGACATCCGGACCAGGCATCACCACCAATTCTAACACAACTCTTGATTTATACACACTGTCTGCTCAGAGAGGCCCCCACAATGGGGATGATGGGCTCAGTGTGGCCCTGCGGCCTTCTGCTTGGCCCCAGATGCCACTCAGCTGCCTCAGGAAATCAAAAGATTTGAGTGTAAGGAGAGGAAAATACTTTGTCTTCTGGAATGAGGAGCTCACAGACATGAGATTGCTTCCAGAAAAGCATAGTCAGAAAAGATCAGGCATCATCCAGAGGCCTGAGACCTCCTGTCACACTGAGTCAATGCTGTTTTCTGTAGTAGCAGATTTCTCCCTTCCTCCTCCCTCTTTCTTTCTTAAACTTTATTTTGCTGTGGCAAGAACACTTCACAGATTTACCCCCAACACATTTTTAAGTGTAAGATATGGTATTGCTATTTGTGGGCACAGCGTTGTACAGAAGACCCCCGGAATGTACTCAGCTTGTATAATTAAGACTTTATGATCAGCATCTCACCATTTCCCACCCCCTGCCCCTTGAAACTACTGTACTACTTGCTGCTTCTATGGGTTTATTTCTGATTCCTCACCTAAGTGGGGTTAGGCAGTACGTCTTTCTGTGACTGGCTAAGGTGCTCAAGGTTCTTCCATGTTGTCGCAAATAGCAAGATTTCCTTTTTTTATTTTTTAAGGCTTAATTATTATCCCATTGTATGGATATGCCACCTTGTCTTTATCCATCCACGCCTCTGAGAACATGAGATATCACCTCACCATCCCTCTAACTGTGCATCTGCCTGCCAGAGGCAAGCATGTCTCAGCTTTCCTCTCCTTTTTCTGGAGACCCGAGATCCAGAAATCCAAGCCCAGGTTCCCTTCCCTGTAAAAACCAGCTCTGAGAGGTTTCTAGGCAAATACGTTCAGGATAACTATCACATCCTCAACATCCATGTACTCACCTCTGCTGGCCCTTCACACACCGTGTGTTCCTAATCCTCTCTAGAAGGCCTAAGCAGGAAGCATTGGTCCTAATTAAGGGGAGAAAATGAAGACATGCGGGATGGGGGTTCTACCACTGGACCAAGGCCACACCACTAGAAGTGAAGTGACTCAAGTTGTCCATGCCTCAGTTTCTTCATGTGTAAAATGGAGATGGTAATAACCCTTACCTCATGGGTATTTGGGTGAGGATGAATGTATGTAAAACTTCCAAAACATGCCTACCACCCAAGGAGAGGGAAGAATGAGCAGTGAACCAGATGAGGTTCACTACTAATTGACACTGGGTCTCGACTGTCTCACCCTGGTGGTCTCTGTCTGGAGGACAGACTGGTTATTACTTCCTCATTATGATCAACTAGCTGTATCCTTTTTTTTCTTAACTGATCCCATACTCTCACCTTGGGTTGTTTATGCAAATGCAACCCTTTGACTTATTTTATTTTAATGTACTTATTACAATGATTGCACTTTCAAATGTTTGCACGAGAGCTTCAAAGCTCTAATTGCTCTGCTGTTGCCTTACTACTAAGCTGCTGCTAGAATCCATTTTTATTCCAGAGAAATAATTAAATGCAATAATGTCCTCCATTCCCATTCAACCTTGGGCATGTTTAGATCCAATTTCAATCAGGTAGAAATATGCTAAACACAATATGGCTTTGTGAGGCAGGTTATGTGACCCAGGCTGCTGTTCATGAGACACCTGGGTCTGCTTCTGTCTTTCCCTGGTTCTCTAATGTTCAGACTTCAGGATGGATCTCTATTCACTCAATCAATTGACCCAGGGCCCCTCGGTCCTGTTTTGGAGGGGCGAGGTGAGTCACTGTGTTTTTAAAAACTATCAGCTCATGGACAAACCTTTATTCTTATTTTTGTGTAGAAAGAACACTGGACTGGCAGGAAGAAGACCTGGGTTCTTGTCTTGCTTTAGCAACTGTCCAATTTTCTCCTCTGTAAAGTGACAGGTCCTGAGTGTGAGCTACTAGACATTCTCTGAATTAGTCATTAACCAATATGATTGACTAATGAAGTTCTACCATTTCAGCTCACTGAGAACTAATTTGATGAACTCTAAGAGACCA